TATTCAGATTACAAATATCAATATTAAACACTTCGGTATCAGCCAAATTCTTTGACAAATGTTTGTGTTCTCCAACACACGTCTGTTGTAACTCTGGATTAGATGTTTTATATATAACGCTACTAAATATAGTTTTGTTTATCGTATTTCTTTCTGTATCATTAAAGAAGGATAAAGTACGCAACCAGTAATGCTGTTTAGTATAATGGTAACCCAAGCTAAAAGTTAGTTTACAAACTGCCTTTATCTTTATTAATACCGTCCTAGTCACACGGTTCTCGAGTTAAGTGTACATAACATATATAGCCGGACATTGATGCACGTGCACATTGGTATCGTGACTAGCATTTTCCTGGTCATTACAGAACTCCGGAAAATATACCATACGTGAGATCAGTGTACACCTCCGACACCTGTTTGTACTTAGCCATTCAATTGTTACAGACAGGTTTCGTTCTCTGTCGTCATATTTCCGTGAAGCGATTAATTGAAAGTTAATTGTAAATCGCACCTAATAGGTGCTGTTGATGTGTCATGATTTGTTTCTTGGAAAAGCCGATGGAGTTGGACGAGTTTGTGTAGTATGTGAGTGTGTGTCGTTTGGTAAAACTTGAATGCACCAGTGTATGATATTAGCAGATATAACCGTGAACAATGCGCGGTATTAAAGCTATGAGCCTCAGAAAAATTATCGTTGCTCTTTAATCAACATATAAAAATATTGGCCTTTTTATTTTCACTAAATGCAATAAAGTCATGTCTCACTCCAAAACGCAATATGTACAGAGCCGGGTGTGTAACGACAGCACTATACATAGACAGGTCAGGTGAATGTTTAAAACTGGAGTACAAGGTCCAGGGCTATATCTCAAAACACACATTCCTAATCGCTCAGTTTGATAACACAGTCTTAACTTGTGGCCCATCAGTTTTGTGTGAGGGAAGGTAGGGTCAATAAATCGCATTTTAGACAAAAATAAAAGAGTCAAAATATTGTAAAAGATAATTTCTTAATACTGTTTATTCTGATGAAATGCAAAAAGTCAACATTCGCTTATAGAGGCGTGTTATTGAAAAGCAATTATCTGTGTTCCTCCATTGGGCCTCTTTCTGTGTGAGGCCGCAGAAACAAGTATTCGTATCGTAACGTGTTATGTGGACCGATTGAAACTTCCGGGTAGACTTAACTACAACACTCTCCCACCACGACTAAATATATCATTACAAAGGTCAAACAAAAGGTCAGCGCGTTGCTAATAACAATAGGTCAAATTAAACCAGCTTTTATTGTTGATAAGATATTGATCGGTATGTACTCTCCTGTACTGACCTCTAAATCTGAGAGAGAAAAAAAGAGTCATAACGTCTCAAAAAGTAATTTATTTAACACAAATATGACCAAACCAGAACAATATATTGAGAGTTTAGCCGTACTGACGGTCGTTGTATGTCTGTCGTTTTGCCGAACTGTTGGTTTCGCGAAACACGATCGAACATTGCTTGGAATTTCCCCCGCAATGCAGCTTGGGAATTCCCGATAGGTGATTCCCCTTCTGTTGAGCAACCTGAATGATGCGGTCGTCAGACTGAATGACGATGTAAGTGCAATCAATTTGAGTGAAAAGCTTAAACTGATTTACTTGGGTACCAGCCACTGTTTATAATTAATCCGTAGTTTCAAATGTTTTGATTTTTTTTAAATAATTCAAATAAATAACATATAAGTCTTAAAATTATTTTTAATATGTATTTTAAATTATCAATTGCAGATATTATAAAATCTTCAGGTAAATCATCAATTTGAAACAGCTTCCTCATGCAGGTTTTAAAAAACCCATAAAGTCAAAATGTTTTATTAATCCGAAGTTTCGAATGTTTTCTTCGTTAATTACCATCGTTTGACTGACCTCTGAGAAAAACATATTATCAAACTTATTTTACTCAATTATAATAGATTTCTTTCAATCCAGTAAATGTTTTTAAACACGACAATCACCAATAAGAAAAACAGGCAGTTAACCCGTTTCACGGTCCTTAAGACATAATTGCCGAACCCAATTTAGTCAGTTAGTAACCCGGTTTTCGACTGTTGTCAGATTTTATTTAGCATAACATCTTAATTTTCAGATCAAAATATGAAAAAAAGGATCATAATGAGGATGTTTCATTGAAAACAAGTGTTGTACTAAAAGATATTGACGAAACAAAAATATATTAACGAGGAAGTTTAATTATTTAGGGCGTGGTAGTCGTATAAGAAATAAAGAACGAGGTGTTCCTATAAAGAAAAAAACAACTTTGCCTAACTGAAGTACAACTGGGTTGTGTAAATTTACAGATCCCGACGTAAATTTACGGACTAGGTATAATACAAGAGGCCCAATGGGTCTGCATCGCTCACCTGGTATAAATCTCACACTTGTAACCTTAAAAGTGATCTAAAATAAAGCTACAGGCAAAATAAAATATCAGTATTTATGATTAAAGTTCATTCAAAAGAACCTGTTATTTTTTTCTAAACATTTCAACCCTGTGTTGAAAGTTGAACGAAGTCATTATGTTGAACAAATTTTATAGCCTTTCATCTCAGGATGCAACTTGCAAAGTATCAACATCCTGGGACCCATGGTTATTCAGAAGAGGTCGTTTAAAGATTTTAAACAAATTTGACCCCTGTGACCTTGAATATGATTCAAGGTCATACATTTAAACAAACTTGGTAGCCCTTGAGCCTAGTATGTACTGACTAAATATCATCACCCTGGGCATTTTTGGTTATTGAGAAGATGTTTAAAGTTTTTAACATATTTGACCCATGTGACCTTGAAAATGGGTGAAGGTCAATAATTTTAACAAACTTTGTAGCCCTTCATCCCAGGTTGCTTCTGGCCAAATATCATCACCCTAGGCCTTTTGTTTATTAAGAAGAAGTCGTTTAAAGTAAAATATTGACGCCGGACGCCGGACGACGGACGGACGACGGACGCTGCGCCACGAAATGAAATGAACGATACTATATCGACAGGTATGAGCATATTTGTGTGTGAGTGAAAAGCAAGCTGTTTTACGATGCGTTTATCTTTAATTTACATCGAATTAATATTCGGAAACACAATGCGTATAAACAGATGAAAACTCCAGAACTTACAGACTGATAAGAAAATATTATAAAAGTGGTTGTCTAAACCTAACGTCTACTGATTTTTTTTATATATTAACTGAATTTTTTTTGTATTAATACATTTCTATTTTTGTCATAGACATATCCCTCTTACCCAGTGACACTCTATAACAGAGTAATTTCTGACCTGAACTTTTTCCTCTGTCCATCTGTTGTCTCTCCGTCTTTTCTTCTCAGTTTGTTTCTCATTCCTGTCTTGCAGTCAAATTTGTCACTCTCTCATTACTCTTGTATCTTTTTCTCTTGGTTTCCTTGTAAAACAAACTAAAGTGTGTATTAAGATATATGCAATCACTCTATTTAAAAAAAATCACCTAATAAATAAACCAACAAATAAAAAATAAAAACAAAAATAAAAAACAATTATTGGATCATGAAAGCTTTCGTGAACTGTATATATGTTTTTTATATGGATTCGTACAAGAAAAGAGACGTATACTAATAACTGATTCACTTTTTGTCGATTTAACGTAAATATAGTATCACAAGCCACGCCCTATTTTACTGGTGTAGCCACGGAATTAGAACCTACGAACAAAATGTCTACAAAAATGACGTCTGGAAAATCTTTGTTAGTATTTTAGTGATAAAGCGACAAAATAAATATAGTTTTGCATCCGTATCTATATATTTTTCAGGAACGGTTCGGCGAGAGTTCTAAATGAAATGAGGACTATTGAGGTTATATCGAGAAGTCATTGAGAAACCATCAAACCGCGAAGGTACGCGGCAAGAGGCTGTTTAAATACTGTGAGGTTACCTTGTGCTTTTAGACTAAAATACCAAATTGTGCACGCCTTGCAGATCCGGAAAAAATAGACCGGTTTCAAAATGTAAATATCCTGTTATAATATATACTGACAGGTAAAAGTTTGCGCTATTATTGCTCTTCTCAGTATATTTTGTATAGTCATCCGTTACTTGCAAGCATAATTTGAAGCAGGGTAAATAAACAGTTTACAAAATATCAAAAGACTATCTCGATGTAATTAGCCTTTCAGTCTTCGTAAAAAAACTTTAGTGTGCTCCTCCTCTTTTTGATTTTAATCAAAATGTACTCCTATGTGGTTATAATCGTATATAAAAATTCCAAATCTAAATATCAGTATCGACAGTTTTTTTTAATAATCTTGAGAAAACCACAATGTTGGGCCTCATGTCTTTTCGCGTCCGATCGTGGAATTGATTTCAGACAGTCTTGGTGAAAAGCACTATATGAGAGCGCTTCCATTGGTGATATTCCGTTTGACAAATCATCGACAAGTTCGCATGTTAGCAACACAATGTTAAGTAGCTCAATCTGTTTAACTTGTATTCCTAACAAACATGTAACTGTCAGATCAAATGAACCTCCTTGGATGTCTAATGAAATCCGCAGATTAATTCGGAAACCTAAAACTATACATCATAGAGCCAAGCGTTCTCTTAGCGATACTCAAATTTCCGTCAAATCGTCATACATGTGTCAACACCATCAAGAAGGCTAAAGCCAAATATAAACTAGAAATATGTCAGAATGACATGAAAGTCACCCCATCATTCTGTATGATCATTTTCTGATAAATCATTGATCAAGCTACAACAGATATATTTCCACCTGTCAATCAAAATGGTAAACAATGACCAGGTGTAAATACATACATGCTGTTCAGGTAGCCATGTCAACACATGGAATTAATAAGAAAGCATGTCGCAAATAGCGTTGACCGACACCTCGAATACGGGGAGATCTGCGCGCTGACACGGTCACCTGGCATGGGCAGAACAGGTAATTGGAATATAACGATGTTGTTTTAACAACAATAGGTTTCAGAAAAGATTCAATCTTATATACGGACAAATCTTCTATTTTTTTGTTATGAAATACAGTTAACCGTCTGAACCTGGCAATGATTCAATGGTTTATCAGTGACAACAGTTAACCGTCTGAACCTGGCAATGATTCAATGGTTAAATCAGCGACAACAGTTAACCGTCTGAACCTGGCAATGATTCAATAGTTTCATCAGTGAAAACACTTCAACGGATTGACATTGATAACAAGCCAACTGTTTATTGCCTCTGACAACACTCCAATGGTTTTCCAAGGACATTTAAATGGTTCCAACTACTAAACATTGATCCTCTGTACTGACCAAACATTGACCGTTGATCCTCTGTGCCGATCAAACATTGACCGTTGATCCTCCGTACTGACCGATGTTGACCGTTACTGACATTTAAGTGCCTTTTCCACTGATCCACTGTTGACAGCGCTGTCTATCACATTTACATACTGTCTGTATAAGTCCCGTAAATCCTGCATCTGAACAGTCTGTAGAGAAGAGGGACGTGTCTCGCTCGGCGGATCAAACAACTTTGATATGAAATCTTGGAGCTTCTCAATTTTGCGAGCTGTGAAATAGAAAAATTTATACATGAATATAAAACCATTCGAAAAATAATTGCCACAGTAGACGGAATCAGCCCAAATATTACTTTGAGTACATCTCGAGCAAAATAAGAGATAATAATATTGCTTAATAGTGTGTGTAACAAGTAACTACCCTGTGGTCAGCAGTGGAATTTTTTATTAATGAAGATTGCTTTAACTTTTCCTTATGACACCTTTTATTTCCTCATAAATCATATTAGTAGTTTCCGTAAAGTATGGCTGGAGGTCTTAACCAATTCATTTATTGATCATCAAGATATCTTTCAAAATGCAAGTACTTTGAAGTGTTTTTTGTACCTGAGGGTCTTTTCTGACATGGACCTAAGAATGGGTGTTTCAAGGGCAAACCTTATTTTGACACTTTACACAAAAATTGGTCAAAATTCCACCCTTGTCACTTAATTTTGGTATTCAGTCCAATACAATTATAAACAAATAATGCAACCGAGCGCTAGAACTCACCGCTAATCTCCTGCCCTACGAAGGCACACCACTTTTCCCTCACCACCTCCGTGGCACTCATGTCGTCCTGTGAGGAGAAGTGTGTCATTGGCTGTAGGCATGGCAACATCTGTGTGTTCATCACGTGTAGCGTGTCTGTCACATCATCCTGGTCCTGGAAACGGGCCGCTATCATATTGTTTAGTTTCTGGAAAAAACAAACAAGGATTTTTACAACATGATATTGTTTAGTTTCTGGCGAAAACAATCAAGAATTTTTACAACATCATGTTGTTAAGTTTCTGGCGAAAACAATCAAGAATGTTTACAACATCATAGTGTTTAGTTTCTTTGGGAAACAATCAATGATTTTTACTGGGCCTGGAATAATATATGGGCGTTCATAATGGGATGTTAAGTTGCTACAACAGACTCCTAAACAGATCCAAATCTTGGTCCTAGAAGTAATGGCAGGAAAAGGTTCCATTACGTCTGCGATTGTCATGCAGGATATGAATTTGTTATGAAATGTATCGATTTATAAAGTACAAAGACATTTCTTCAAGGATAATCTGTCCCCTTTCCCTTCTTTTTCATTGAATTCATATCATCCTTTAGAAAGCCAATCAAAACTGTTACATAGTTCAATATATACAGCCCACATAGTCACACTTAGTGTACTTCCATGTCTGACTAAGTACATGATAGGGTTGGTTAATGCTTTGTTCACTTGACCACCAACAGTCAAAGGGAGATAATTGTCATCTTGGTTTGTAATTTTGTTATACAAAGTTGAGGGAGAGTTGATATACAGGAACATCAACATTTTATTATGAACTCAGACTGTTATGTAGTGTAACAAAACCATCACACAGATTTTGACATGTAATGTCAGCTGTTTTAGGTTAACTTGATGTAACGATATTTTCCATGACACTTGCTGGACATGGAATAATAAACGGGCGTTCATTATGGGTTGTTAGGGTGCTACAACAGACTCCTAATCTTGGTCCTAGAAGTAATGGTAGGAACAGGCTCCATAATGACTGATAATTGTCATGCCGATGTAACAGCCAATTTTTTCCCTCCTGCTTAAAGTTTCTATGAGGAAAGAATCAGCTACCTGTTTCTTTACCCCACTAGATAGTTTTTTCCCTGGGGGAAGAAATTAGCTAGCTATATCTTTCCCCCACTGGATAGTTTTTTCCCTCATTTGTTTAGGGGTTTTTTTTTGGGGGGGGGGACTACAAGCTGGCAGATGTTGTCCCTGGTATTGATTTTTAGAGAGGGGGAACTATTGGTTGGTTGTTTCTTTACCCCCTTGGCATTCATATGTGGGTGGTAGGGTTATTTGCAGGTAGATTATTTCCCCCTCAGGTTTGTTTTTTTTGAAGGAGGAGGAGGGGGGGTGGGGGGGGATAGCCAACAGTTTCTCCCCTATTAACTTATACAGAGGGGGGAGTATTGACTAGCCAATAATATCCCCCATAAACCAATACAAGGAAGGGGGGGGGGGATAAGCTGGCTAATTTCTTCTCGGGGGGGAAAATTAACTAGGGGGGAAAGAAACAGCTAGCTTATTTCTTCCCCCGGGGAAAAAAAAGCTAGCCTATTTCTTCCCCGGGGAAAGAATTGGCTAGTTTATTTTTTCCCCGTGGAAACTTTCAGATGGGGAAAGAAATGACTTCTACACCGGATACAATTTTATAATGAAATGTATCAATTGATCAAGTACAAAGACATTATTTCAAGGATAATCTGTCCCTCTTCCCTTCTTCTTCATTGAATTCATATCATTCTTTAGAAAGCTCATCAAAACTGTTACATAGTTCAATATATACAGCCCACATAATCACACTTAGTGTACTTCCATTTCTGACTACGTACATGATAGGGATTGTTAACGTTTTGTTCACATGACCACCAACAGTCAAAGGGAGATAATTGTCATCTTGGTTTGTAATTTTGTTATACAAATATGAGGGAGAGTTGATATACACACAGGCAAATGCGTCAGGTCAGTAATCCGGCAATTCTCCCTTCCCTCTAGTCAAACACATTTTTATCCTGAACTCGGGCTGTTATGCAGTGTAACTAAAACATCGCACAGATTTTGACATGTAATGTCACTTGTTTTTAGGTTAACTTGAAGTAACAATATTTTTCATGACACTTCTTAATTTTAAAAATATATGAGGTTATAATTCAAGTTTCAAAAATCAGTATTTTTCAGCTTAAATGACTCATTCACTTATATATTCCAACCTTTGAACTAGAGGAGTTCACATGTGTCTTCAGGGGTGAATGAGTTAAAGAAACAATTCCACTGAAAAACGATACAAAACTGGAGATTTGTTTTATGGTATACATACCAGCATACAGTGTCGTCTGTAGTACGACACAAGCTTCTTAGAAAGTCCTCCCTCTGGACCAAACTCGCTCAGAAGTTTCTGATTATGTTCATATATGTGTAGGAAGTATGACATGGCTTTCTCATAGCTACAAACAGAAGGAAACGTTCATCATATATATAATAGGTCTGCAACATAGACATTATAAATTCTGTTACTGTTTCTTTCATGTTAATTTAGAGGTCTGAAATTGACACTGCAAACAATAATGACTTCAGTCCAAATTTACCAAGGCCCCAGGTCATAAACAATCTAGATTTGAACAAATTTAAATAGGCTAGGGGTTCTCAAACAATCTTAGAGTTTATTTCATGTAGAAACCAGGGTTCCCAAGCAAGCTATACTCAAGTCCAAATTTACACAGAACAGGCCCCAGGTCATATTTTTTTTTAGATTTTCAACAAATTTAAATAAGCTGGGAGTTATCAAACAATCTACACTCAAGTTCAAATTTTATAGTTGTCTATTTTATCAGTAAGTAACAAATTGATTGCAATCATCCATATATTCAGATACACATATGTGTTAATAGGTATAATTCACAACATATTTGGAAAAATTTACAAGAAAATTAGTTTTATCTAAAATTGAAATTTGATCAATATTCTTTAGATAGAATCATGTTACTAGGGTGATAGTAAAATCAATCTTCCTTATTTGTGGTGAAAATTTTGTGTAATTGTTAACATTCTAATGTCAACAGTGAATACAATTATCATTAAAGTTTAATTATTTCAATAATTTTTAATATTTTGAATTACAAAATTATATAATACTGAGATTTTGCTGAGCAATACATGTCCCTTACCGGCCCCCGCTAGCTATTACACTGTAATGATTTATAAAAATGGTGCCCTTTGGTGTTAATTTGGGAAAATGAAAAGTATACAAGTAGCTTGTACCTGAATTTAATGTAATTTTTCTATTCTACATTACCATCAATCATATATTGTAAATAAAAATTCAGAATAAATGAATTTCCATGTATACTGTATATTACATACACATTTGACACTTTAAAGGGGCTGGTCGGGGAAAAAATGTCATATTTGCTAAAATGGCATACACATGTTCAAAATACCTTCTTATGAAATATACCAATTCAAATTTTGCTGAAATTCACTCCCTAAGAGTAAAACTTATAATTATATTAAAGAAATCCTAAATCGTCACCTGACAGTCTAAAACTCTCAATTGACCCAGATCAGTGATGTAATTTTACCGCATGCGCGTCATCAACAAGGCCAAATGTAAACATCGCAGCGAAAGAAAAAGATGCATGCAAAAGTCATGACAGGCACGAGGTATCAATACTGTTATATATAACAACAACATATAGGTAGGATTACTATACTTGCATCATGCATGACCTTTGAAAACAATTATTTACGTATAGTATTGCTGTCTTGTCCGCTAGTTGAGTTTGACATGGCTGATAGACGACATGCTATTGTTGTTATCTTCACTGCCTCACTTTCGAAACAACCACGTGACATATATAAATAGATCTGCGCTAAATTTACGCGGGGCTTCCCTGAGATTTCAGTGGTCAAAATCTCGACCATCATATTGCCGTGGTATAACTTTTGGAAGGCCAGAGAACGCATTTAGACCCATTTGTTTTGTAATTTTTTTCCCCGACCAGCCCCTTTAAGTTCAGTAATGAACCGATTATATTGATTATGGAATTTGTTATCGATAATCGGAATTGAACAGGACAAATTGATTGATGTTCGATTATTATATATCGATCATCAGTCCATCACTGGCTTCAACTTGTCCAGGATTTTGTATTCTTTAAGTAACGGTGGCCTTGACCTAAACTCTACAACCCTGAAACTCGAACTTGTCCTAGATATTACTGTCCTTTGTAATTATGTGAAGTTTGATCAAAATCCCCGATGGAGTGAAGCCGCTACAGCACTGACAATGAATTCTCTAAAAATAGTAATGGTGACCTTGACCCGAAAACCCTGAAACTCGAACTTGTCCAAGATATTATGGTCCTTTGTAATTGTGTGAAGTTTGATCCAAATCTCTCAAGGAATCAAGCCACTAGATCAGCGCTGACAACAATTTTCTAAAAATAGTAACAGTGACCTTGTCCTTGACCCAACAACCCTGGTACTCACCTTGACCCGACAACCATGAAACTTGAGCTTGTTTGAGATATTATGGTCCTTTGTAATTGTGTGAAGTTTGATCAAAATCTCTGATGGAATGAAGCCGCTAGAGCGCTGACAATGAATTTTCTAAAAGTAGTAACGGTGACCTTGACCCGAAAACCCTGAAACTAAAACTTGTCCCAAGATATTATGGTCCTTTGTAATTGTGTGAAGTTTGATCAAAATCCCTCAAGGAATGAAGCCGCTAGAGGGCTGACAAGGATTTTCTAAAAAATAGTAACAGTGACCTTGACCTTACAATACTGAAATTTGAAATTGTTCGAGATATTATGGTACTTTGTATTTGTGTGAAATTTGTATGTACGTACACAGACGGACGGAGAGGAAACCTTATTATATAGTCCCCCCGATTTCATCGGTAGGGGGCTAATAATGGCACATTAAAGTCTGTATACTCACTTTTCCTCATTGTAGTATCGAACACCTTCAACAAATCAGTACACAAGCTTCCGGAATTTATCATATATTTCGTGCCAAAGCTGAAAGGCAACAAACAATATATTAGAAACACACTTGTTCACAAACAATACACCCCTTCACGAGAATCAGATCCGATGCATCTCAAATGAAGAATCTGTTATTAAAGTACTAGATGTCACTGAATTTGAGTTTGTCATTTTCAAGGATGTTTGAAAACAGGTTTATATACAATGTGAATTTAATTGTCTAATTTTGGGTCAAAATCATGAACATTTTATCCCATGTTCATAGCTAATTCAGATATAAAAGTCATCATGATCTCATTTTAGATTTACAAACAACTGATGTTCCTACAATTGAGTCATTTACAATGCAGGCTAACGGGGTTAGACACTTACTACGTTTACTAGGTAGTCCTCAGGACTAACGGGGTTAGACACTTACTACTTTTACTTAGGTAGTCCACAGGACTAACGGGGTTAGACACTTACTACTTTTACTAGGTAATCACAGTACTAACGGGGTTAGACACTTACTACTTTTACTAGGTAGTCCACAGGACTAACGGGGTTGGACGCTTACTACGTTTACTAGGTAGTCCACAGGACTAATGGGGTTAGACACTTACTACTTTTACTGGGTAGTCCACAGGACTAACGGGGTTAGACACTTACTATGTTTACTAGGTAGTCCACAGGACTAACGGGGTTAGACACTTACTACGTTTACTAGGTAGTCCACAGGACTAACGGGGTTAGACACTTACTACGTTTACTAGGTAGTCCACAGGACTAACGGGGTTAGACACTTACTACGTTTACTAGGTAGTCCACAGGACTAACGGGGTTAGACACTTACTACGTTTACTAGGTAGTCCACAGGACTAACGGGGTTAGACACTTACTACGTTTACTACGTCCACAGGACTAACGGGGTTAGACACTTACTACGTTTACTACGTCCACAGGACTAACGGGGTTAGACACTTACTACGTTTACTACGTCCACAGGACTAACGGGGTTAGACACTTACTACGTTTACTAGGTAGTCCACAAGACTAACGGGGTTAGACACTTACTACTTTTACTAGGTAGTCACAGGACTAACGGGGTTAGACACTTACTACGTTTACTACGTCCACAGGACTAACGGGGTTAGACACTTACTACTTTTACTTAGGTAGTCCACAGGACTAACAGGGTTAGACACTTACTACTTTTACTAGGTAGTCCACAGGACTAACGGGGTTAGACACTTACTACTTTTACTAGGTAGTCACAGAACTAACGGGGTTAGACACTTACTACGTTTACTAGGCAGTCACAGAACTAACGGGGTTAGACACTTACTACGTTTACTAGGTAGTCACAGGACTAACGGGGTTAGACACTACGTTTACTACGTCCACAGGACTAACGGGGTTAGACACTTAC